TGAACCGCTGACTTGCTGATCTAGCAGTAGCCTGCAGTGCTGCTTTTAACCACTGCGCCACCTTGGCTCTAGGCATCACCGGGCCTCGCTCTTATCTCGTAGAGCTCGAGGATGGTTGGAATTGGAGAAGGCACATTGACCAACTCCATGGTGCCTCTGCAACTCCACTCTTAGACAGCCAGAGGTAACTCCTGCACAAGTTAGCCAACGCCCTACCAAAAGGAGCATGAAGTCACTCCTTCCACAGCCAACTCAAACCCAATGTCACTGGGATACTTAGCTTCTTGTGTTGCAGGCCCGCAGCGAGCTCCGAGCGAACTGGCTCTAGAAGCTCCAGCCATGGCCTGTGAAAGGTTCCAGGAGCTTCCACCAAGCGGAGCTGTGGAGCAAACAGGTCCATCCGACCTGTCCGAAGAACACCCTCCGACTGAACTGTGCAGGTCTGGCAGAGCTACCAAAAAACCCGCCTACCTGCATGACTGCGTTACCAGTAGGATGATTCCATCTAAGAAGGGAGGGGTGTTAGATACTAGCTACAGTTATAATGGTTTCCATCAAGGTCCTCTGTTGCGGCGGGAACAGAGGTTTAATCTCATTGGTCAAAGGGTCTGACAGCTCCCTATAAAAGGGCTGCTGTCAGACTCAACCTTCACTGGATTGTACATACTTGTTTTTTACAATAAAGAGCTGTTGTTGCCTTTAGCCTGAGTGTGCCTTTCCATTACCCAATGTAACAGTGTTATAGTTAAAACTATCCATTGGAGATAGAAAAAACAACAGCCTGCCTTTCATTAAAAAAATCTGTATATTGTATGAGTCAGAAGGAAGATTGAGAAATTATGTACAGGTCCCTCACATCTTGAATTAAACCGTTTCAACCCTTCAGAACATCGCTATAGTGCATTACATGTCAAACAACTAGACACAGTTTTTCTCTCATGTCATCACTCTGCTAAACATCTAATCTTCCCAATACTGTCTTATGTCTAGGTATATTTACCTATGTTGTATGGCTGTAATATTATTATCCTTCTCATTTTCTCTACTATGCCCTTATTGATATCATTATTATGATTATTATTACTCTGTTGGTTTACATGTACACTTCTGCACCTGAGACAAATTTCTTCTGTGCCTAATCACACTACTTTTTTTTAAAGTGCTGTGCTGTGCTGTGCTGTGCTCTATTCTATTCTATTCTATTCTATTTTCATTCCATTTTTTGTGCCAATTCAATGAATAATTTAATTTTTCCCAAATACTGAAGCTTTAAAATCTTACTTTTATCCTAAAAATTCTTATCCACTACAATGTGTTCTAGAAATCCCAACCTTGTAATTTTGTAGAGTAGTATTTATTGTATCTCTCAAATGTAATTTAAAACCTTGCACTTCTTTTCCATTTTAGTGCATTGTATTCTATTGGGTATATTCAATGACTCATGAAGTGTGAAACAATTTTAAATTTGGTCCATTTTTATAATAAACCTTTATATAAACATTCTAAATATTGTGAACATAATCTGTTTACTATGATACCATTTTAGCATGAAGCATTTTTGTTTGATTCCACAGAAAGGTTGTGGTTATCATCTTGATCTGCTCATGGTTGGCATTATGTTAGGTATATGCTCTATCATGGGCTTGCCTTGGTTTGTGGCTGCAACTGTCCTTTCAATAAGTCATGTGAACAGTTTAAAAGTGGAATCTGAGTGCTCAGCTCCAGGAGAACAACCAAAGTTCCTTGGAATCCGTGAACAAAGAGTGACGGGATTAATGATTTTTGTTCTGATGGGGCTATCAGTGTTTATGACCTCTGTTTTAAAGGTAAGAAGCAGATTTTTTTAAAAAATTCTATTACAAGTTTAGTATATTAAAACAGTTTTTCCCTTTTCCCTTCCTTTCCCTTCTCTCCCTTCCCTTCCCCTCCCCTTTCCCTTATATTTATTTTCCCAAGATCCATTAATACTACTAAAAATGGTAGTACCATATCCATATTATTAATCTCTCATTACTATCAAGTCCTTCACTATATTTTTCATTTTCATAATCTACAGTCAAATTAGACATTATTATATATCATCTCTGCCTAGATGAATAGTAATGTCTTATATCTGAACCATTTCCCCTAACCATATACTTACCAATCACTTATGTTCTATTGGGCTCTTTTTTCAAAAATACACTGAAATATTTATTTTGTTAAATCTGTACATTTTTTTGATGAAATAGTCAAATCTTTGCAAAAAGTGCTTAATGTTTTTATATTCATTGATCTGTTGATTTTCAAAGTTTGATTTGCTGGAGTTTTTGTTGTTCTTTTTTTACAGTTTATTCCAATGCCAGTTTTATATGGTGTTTTTCTTTATATGGGAGCATCCTCTCTAAAAGGCATTCAGGCAAGTTTTCATTTTACTCATCTTGCATCGGTAGAAAAAAGTAACATAGATGCTCATAGATGCAGTATTTGGTTTTCCTGTCTCACTCTGCTCCCATACATGATGACTTTTGAGTGCCTTTGGCACTTTCTTGAAAGTATAAAGGACAGGAGGTCACATACTGAGCTCTAAAGAACATAAGATGGGCTTATACAAGATAGGTTTCTGAATTTATCATTGCTGTAATAGCTCGTTTGAGGTATTGATGAAGGTACTGGCCTAAAACCAGAAAATTAAGTTGTAAGCCTCACTTAGGCACGAAAGCCAGTTGAGACATAGTCTCTTAGCCCAATCCAAGTCACAGGGTTGCTATTTTGAGGAAAATAGAAAACAGGAATATGGGGTATCTTCGCCACTTTAAGAGAGGGAGAGGGACAAGGCGAAGACAAAAGGCAGGAAAAATGTAATAATAATAGCTATATAGTCAGAGTGTGTACATACAAGTACAGGTTGCATACTTATTTCTAAATTCTAAAAGTTTTTAGTAGCTAGTGTACAATTATTATTTTCACTAAAGAAGTGTCATGCCTAATTTGTAATCCACTTATTTTTATAATTTTGTTTTCTAAAATTGTTTTTAGACATATGTTTAATAATTTTTCTTTCCATTACAGTTTTTTGATCGTATTAAACTGTTCGGTATGCCTGCCAAACATCAACCTGATTTGATTTATCTCCGTTACGTGCCATTATGGAAAGTACATGTATTTACAGTGGTTCAGCTTACATGTCTTATTCTTTTGTGGGCAATTAAAGCATCAGCTGCTGCTGTTGTTTTTCCTATGATGGTAAGCTAATGTTTCACTACAACGTTATTCACAATTTATAAATATCTAAATATGAAATTCAATGATATTAAATCTATGCAATTAATGCTGTGTACTGTAATTTATATTAATTCTATATATTAGTATTTTGATTTGCTAGTAATTTATATTTAAAACTGTTTTAAAGGTTTTAGCTTTAGTTTTTATTCGCAAACTTATGGATTTGTGTTTCACCAAACGGGAGCTCAGTTGGCTTGATGACCTTATGCCAGAAAGTAAGAAGAAAAAGGAAGATGACAAAAAGAAAAAAGCAAAGGAAGTAAGTGAAATAGTATTCATATCGAAGCAGTGTTTGGTGGGGAAATGGAAAACATTTCCGATATTTGATTCAAGTTCCTCTAAATATAGTGGCTCATTAAAGCTCTATAAAAAGATGCAAAATGAGATGTGATTGATAGGAATATGACAGCACAAACATAAACAGAATGTACACTAAACATAGATATTGTATAAGTGTCACATGTAAATGATCTTTTTCAAATATTAAGAAGTCTTTTCAAAGATTTTAAAAAAGTATTTATAGATGGTTAATTGTTTTCAGGATAATCTTACAATAAACAAGCCATAGTAAATTATTTCAGAAAATATAGTCAGGATATAAACAAATGTGAACTAATAGCTAATATAAGTATATTTGGAATGAAATGTACTAAAATTTCTCTATGACTAATATTGTAAATTAGAAATTTTTAAATGATACATAGTACAACTTTTTGTCGGTAAAGTCACTGTTAGGCTGGCATAAATTTTAATGTGTTTGTATAAATAACACAAGGGTCAAAGAAAAGTTCAATAGATTTGAAATGATGTACATAGACAATGTGTACTATATTATCTTCCATTACAAGGGGTTTACAGTTAGAAATACCTCATCATATAACACAGTAATCTAGCAATAGACTATTTTGTCGTGAAGTAATTGTATTAGAACTGTTTTAAAATGGCCTGACCTCAAAATGGGCCAATTCCGTGTGACTAGGACATTTTAGAATAGGGCCATTTCAAGGTTAGACCTTTTCCTAATTAGTTAAGTAATTTAATCTGTACTCAGAATGACCCATTTCTGAGTTAAAATGGTCCATAATGAAAAATTCTTCACATCTTTGATTGTTGGCAAAAATTCAAATGGTAAAAAAATATATTCTTTTTTGGTGGCTATTGTAGACCTGAATTTGAGTGCCATAATACAAATTCTTGTTAGTTTGCACAGGAAGGAGTTTTCATAAGAGGAGACTAGAGTATAATTTTCTGGCCTGAATTCTTCACAACCCTTTATTTTTTATTCCCCAAATATTGGGTGAAATCTGTTACTATGCAGTTTCCAAAATGCCTGCTTTTAGGTCAATGTTGACAAAATACAAAATTCATTTTTCCATTTCTCTTATTATTCAAAATTTGTTAAACCTGTATTGGATTATATATAACTTTCAGGAAGCGGAACGAATGTTTCAGGCAGTGGACAGTGAAACTGTACACCTTCCATATGAAAGAAGTGAAGTATTACAAATTCCTGTGAAAGCTCTAAAATACAGGTGTTGTATTTACCTATTATTTTAAATTTTATTTTATATAATAGCTTATTCAATTTAATTCTGAAGGATTTTTGTATAATCTAGAATTAATTATGGTGTGAAAGAGGACCAAAGACTATAAAGTAGCTGCATATATCACCATATTGCACTACATGGTATTTATTTAATGAATATTTTGAACAGATCAGATGACTCCATACCAGTCAATTGTATCTATATGAAGAACTTTCTTTAGTTCTGTCTTATCTGTTATTGTGCATAGTTAATGTGGAAGACACTGAAGATATTAAACTGAGACTTTTATCATTTAGAGAAAGCCTGGACATTATTTTTACATGTGTAAATAACATTGGTTGTGTGCTATAACAGGGGTCCCCAAACCCCAGACCATGGCCCACTACCTGAACTTGAATTGTTTGGAACTGGGCCTCAGAAGTGATGGGTGAGCGTGCACTTGCATCCCCATTTGCATAAGCAGTGAGCAAATGTGTGTTGCACTCCATTTGCATGAGCAGTGGGCGAGTGCATGCGCCTACACTCTATTTGCATGAGAGCGGGCAGTTGTTTCCGCCACTTGTGGTAATGGAGCTGTACATGTACTCTTGCCCACCACTCACACAGAACCATCCCTTCCCACACTTGCTGGTCTGTACAGACGAAATGGTTGGAGAATGCTGTATTATCAAATTAGAAATGTTATTATTCCCCAAATAAACATCTGTTTACCATTTTTTAAATTACTATTCCTTATATGATCTGCTACCACTTGGATTCAATATTGTTTTAGCATTTTTAGACTGAAATATATATTTTTTAAGTATGTAACTTTAGTTAAGTATTTAACTATTTCTTCATGAAAAATTAATACCAAGTGAGTAACTGTGGTTAGTCTGGAAGCTATAATGCTTATTCTTGCTTTGACTTTCTGCTGAAAACAGTTATAACTATGGATATTTTCCTTCAAATTAATAAAAATATGTATTGTGAACTGCTTATTGCCAGTTTTCTATCCTTTCTTAACAGAAGCTGTTAAAATGGTATTGTGCATTAACTGCACATCATTTCACTTGATTTTTTCTGGAATACTAAAGCTCATAAAGTTCCTTAATCAATTCAGGAACAACATCTGTCCAGTTATACTATCAGTTGAAAATAAGATGGGATGAAATAACACACTTAAGAAACTTACTTTATGAAGTATCTCTGCTAATATCATTAATCATATAGTTAAGTTAGTTTTATAACAATGTTTTTCTTAATTTTCCTAAAGCAATAACACCAATTCCATTCGATGAAGTATTATATTGTGAATATATCTACAAAATGGATACCTTGGAGTTGTGCCTATTCTCTGAAAGGCTGCCATCATTAGCATGGCAGGTTACAAAATACTGATTTATCAGAGGGCAGAGTAGTAAAAATGCTTCCCTTTCTTAATGTCCAGTTTACCTTTCTATTCTTTGCTTTGAAGCAGAGTAAAAATATACTCATTTAATTTATTATTACATGGAGCCTGATGCCCACAGAGGAAAATGATTGCTGGTATATAGTCTATGATAATTCCAGGAAAAGATACATGGTAGAGAAAATAGGTAAAAGTGATTCTTTCAAAAAGCTTTTCCTATCTTCTATTATAATGTGGTTCAGACCATTAGAAATTACCTATTTTCATAGACTAATTTAGAACTAATATTGAACTGGGATGTGAATTATTTTTAGCATTGAGATTCTTAGTGTTAAAATGAAATATTGCAATATTTTCTAGTACCCATGCAAAAAACATAATCAAGGCTTAAAATGGTAGAGTATGACACCTCATTAATGGTTTAGCAAGGCATGTAGAACTAATCAGTGTGTGTTTATTACCCAGCATTGACCCCTCTGTGGTAAACATATCAGATGAAATGGCCAAAACTGCACAGTGGAAGGCTCTTTCCATGAACACAGAGAATGCCAAAGTAACAAGATCTAACTTGAGGTAGATTAATCATGCTTTATGATTTTGTTTTTGCTTTACATGTTTAGAATGGAAACGAAGTTGGTTGTTAATTTATATACCAAACTAATGTTGGTGAACCTTTTGGGCTTGGTGTGTCAAATATTCAGAAAATGCTTAACTTGACTTTTCTGGCATGTCACACACATCTCCACCCCAAAAGAGAAACAATTACGTATCTTCCCTCCTCCATATAGGCTAAGCAGTGGTGCCAAGGATGGGCCTGAAGTAGAGTCCCAAACCTCAATTTCAGCCCTAATGCCCTGCTGCCACTTAAAAAAGCACCCTGTTCCCCAAGCACACCTCATTCTTGCTCACCCACCCTAGTGTAAGAATGAGGCATGCTTTTAAGAATAGTTGTTGTCAGGTGAATGCTGGTATGTCATCCAAAACATTGTAGTGTTTTACCTTTCACATGCATGACATGAGTTTGCAATCACTGCCCTAAACATATACCAAACAACTTATGTTAAGCAGCTGTTTAGAATTAGAATGATGGTTATAACAAAAAGAGGATACATTTTACCACAAATAAGCAAAACTGAAAATCAAATATCCTTATTAACAAAATGGATACATTTTTACTATAGTGCTTTGAATGGGACAGGTAATGTGCTCTAGAATGTTCTCAAATGATAACACATTATGTTGCATGATAAATATATTGGAAAATGAATAATATATTGCTGAAAGAAAATAACCATTTGGACTAATATAAACTCTTTGCTTGAGAATAACATAGTTGCTTTGACTATACATTAAGAACTCTGCTCCAAATTACATAAAATAATGGTGGACAATGCTGTTTGTGCGCAGTGACAAATTTTTTTTAGCCTTAAAAAAATAGAGCTTGAGAGATTGATGTGGCAATGTCACTGACTGAAGAATGCCCTGCCTTAAAGCACATGTGTTGCAAATTGTGCTGCCATATTTCTGGGATAGGCTGGCAAATTTTGGTTATATTATTTGTAGCCATTGTTTGAGTTGCAAAAAAGATTCTAGTATATTGCTTTTTCTTGATACAAAATATTCCAGTTTTCTTTCATAGAATTTAAATTTGTTTCATTATTCTAATTTTAGTATTGCACATTTGAGTGGGTGAATTTGAGACTCACTGTAAATATATAGTATTTCTGGGTTGACATATTACATGAACACTTCCTTTATCTTAACAATTGTTTGATTCACTCATTATTCAACTTCATCATTTCATTTCCCCTCTGTAGTACAGTATATAGTGACTTTAGCTGATTTTTTCAAATGACCTGCAAATTTGGCTATAATAGCCAACACAATTACAAAGTCTTGAGTTCAGACATTACAACAATCCATGCTTCTGAATTACTCATAAATGTATCACTTGCTACTGGGTATTTGCAGTGCAGCCCTATATATCTGTCTGTCTGTCATATCTGTCTGTTATCTACAATCTGTCCATCCATCCATTCAAATTTCATTGAATTCTGATAATTCAAAGAGCTTTATATTCTAATGGTTATACTGGATTATAACACAAAAATAATTTATTTTACATTTCTAAATATGTATCTGATACACAAAGTAGGAATCATTGTGACTTCTTAATTATTAAACCATATTCATTTATCTAAAAGAATGTTCTACTGAACTTGCTAACCTTTAAAGAAGATACTTATAAGGTTGTATTATTAGAATGTATAACATTTTTTTAATTAAAAAGGTTTTCATAGGTTAAATCTTGCTTTATGCTCCTAGCAATATGCTAATTTATATCAATATGTATTATTAATACCCTTGTCTTGGTGTTTTTAACTATGTGAATTTTTCTTAACAGCCCTGAAAATGAGTCATGTGTGAAAATAGACATTGAAAAAACATCTGAACTAAAGTATGTAGATGCTGAAACCTCATTATAGAGGTAAAACACTGATATTATTTTATAGGATATATTGAAAGAGGGTGACTTTACAGCTTCTTTTAAGTACTAGGTACTTCTGTGAACAACAGTGGGATTTTCCAGCAAGAAATGTCTATCACTGTGGAAATATTTATTTTAATGGAATGTTTGTTTCAATTTTTAAATAGGAAAAGTAATTTCTTTTTTAGTTATCAGTAAGTCAAAGATCATTTTTAACTATAAATTATTGGTTTGCATTGTATGTGATATTTTTATATAATTTTAAATACAAATGTCCTGTTATCAGGCATTTGGGTTGGGTTTTTGCAAATATTATGCCAGTTTATAAGAACAAATCATACATATGCAATTTAGTGAATTGCAGTATTTCAGCCTTTATTTCATATTATTTTATGGATTGCATTTGTATATGAATTATTTTCTGTTGTACTGTTAAACACCATTGTATTGCATTTAAAAAAAAAAAAGTCTTATATGTCAACTTGTCAGATTTATTTTTTAATTCACAAACCACAAGAGCAGATTATACTGAAAGAATAAAGCAGTTTTTTTAAATATAGAAGTCTAGATTGGCATTTATTTAGACTGCCTTTCAAAAACATGATTATGGTTTTCTTTTTGTAAATTAAGTTTTAATTTTCTCTAGGGCATCCTAGAAATATATTCCAGAGAGCTGGGAGAGTTTGATGATTGGTAACTGTAGGAGAGGGAAGAAATTTATATCAAATAAATGTAAATTTTCTAGTAGTAATGTATCAGAACATCTGGATTTACATTAAGAATTGATTTCTTTTACATAAACTTTATTGCTACTTGACATTGAAAATAAATTTATGTAAGTTCTTGAATCCATCATTTTAACATTCAGTTCAAGGAAATAAAACCAGAATTGCTTTAAAATTATGGTAAATTTTAAAAAATGTTTTCCAAAGCATATTTGTCTTAGATCAATAAAACCATTTATATAAAATGCTGGGTGCAGCTGAGTTTTATCTGTTTAATGTTTAAGCCCTGTGTTTTTGTTCTCTCATTATAGATTTCAGCACACCATATATGAAATGTGTAAGGTTTGATTGTGCTTAAATAGTTTACCAATTTTATAATAAGACATATAATAAGATTCTCTAAAATGTTAAGTTTTTTAGATCAGTACTGAAGAGAAACATTTTAATGTAAACATCTGTTTTAATATGGCTATGTGAAAACTGTAACAGAAAATACACATAACTTAATTTCAAACTCAAAAGATTCTCTGGTTTACAGTGCACCAAATATTTTTTTTAAAAAATCTTACAATGTAGAAAAGGCATTGCAATGTGTAAGCATCCCAATATTGTTGAACTTAATTTTTTTGGAAGCAAGTAAAGGATGCAAGATTTGTAGTTTCATTTGACAATGTCTAGAATTCTGGTAAAAGCAAATTCTTGAATATAGTTAAATCAATTTGTGGATTTTATTAAATTTCAAATAAAATTAATAGTTGTCAAAAAGGGCCCAATCATTTTAAAAAATGCTCAAGTGTAAAGTGGAGCAAAGAAAGAAAAAAATGAAATTTGTACCCAAGTATGTTAAAATGAAAATCTGATGCCTAAAAATGATCAAATTAATATTAATATATTTGGTTTTGATATGACATATTGAAACAGGATAATATTTTCATTCCTGAGTGCTTGCACAATTTGTGCCTTAGGTTTTTTTAAAAATACGCACTTTTCTTTATTTAAAAATCATATTTGTTTGTATCTCATAAATATTTCTGTATCTTTGAAATTACATTTCAAATTTGTTATTTAGTGTAGGCAAGTGAATCATGTTCATTAGAATTGACAGCTTCCAAATTAATTATGCTTGTCTTTTGTTATTATAAATATTTGTGTTCAGAGCCATGTGTAGAAATTTACAAAGACTTAACTAGATTGTTTGACTTTTAATCCTTTATTTTCAAATGCCTGACATTCAATAATGCTGTTCAATGCCAAAGGGTTAATAAGTTAATTTAAATAAATATCTGAAAATTATTGAAACTCATTATTTATTTGCTAATTATGTAAAATAATTCCTAATGACAGAGATAACATGACTTGCAGTGTAGTTTACATTATTTGCTTAAATACTGCTTATTAATTCATTATTACACATTTTATTTTTTTTATAGCAGATGTCCAAATATGATGTTTAAAACTCCAGGGCTAATTTATAATGTTCTGTTTATTGTATGTTGTAAAAATACTATTTTTTTCCATAAATAAAATTATAGTAGTAAAGCCAAACCATAAAAGACGTACCTTATTGTATGTATAAATATTGCCCTAAAAGCTATAAATGAGTAACATTACAGATTAATAATTCACCCGAGAGTGAAATCTAATTATAGCCAGTATATTCCCACTATGAGAATACTAGTTCCATTAAGTGACTGTTTTCTAGATACAGACAGATTTAGTGGCAATAACTGCAAAGCAATTTGAGAAAATGTACTTTTTCTGTTCTTTAAAGCAACACATTTTCAGTCCAGAATATCTGAATTTTAATTAATTAAAACATTTTGTTTAAAGTTGTTTAATGTCATAAACAGAACACAGATACTTTTTTTCATGATTCTGTGGGAACTAATGAACCCATATACACTTATATACATATATACATGCATAATTTCCATATTTCACATTAACTATACTAAAAACAAATTATTCAGTTTTTCAAGGCAATCAATAAACTATGTAAGATGGTGTTCAAAGCATGTACATTACTTAGCATTCAATATGATATTTTTCCTCTTTTACTTTAATTAAATTTATTTCTGTGTATGGTAGTCTTATAAACAATGTTGTTTGGTAAAAATTCCAACTATAATTGTAATGTTAAATAACTGTGGTGCATCACAAATATTCATGGGTCTTCATTGCTTAAAAGAGTTTGTTAATGAATTGTGTTATGTCCCCAACATAGTGCATGTTGGCCATTAGTAAAACGTATTGAATGTTATTTTCTTTTGATATATTTTTGTGAGTAATGTAATGGTTGTTAGAATGATTAATATAGATCCCATGTATTACTTAGCACAATTATTATGAAGAACCATTTAATTTCATGAATGAATAGGTGTGTAATATCCATAGATACTTGTATTAATACAAAATGTTGTCCTGTGATTTTACTATTTTGAATTTTTAAATTACTTTTTAGAAAATTTATCAAGAACAGGAAAATGGTTATCATTGGTGTGAAATTTTTAAAAAAATCATATTTAGCATATATTGTCACTGTTTTGCAATCTTAGAATAACTTATTTAAAGGATAGGTTTTTATAAATGCAGTTTATTGGCTAGCAGATACATCCTTTCAAAACTTCCCTTTTGTCACTGATACTTTGTTTTGCAAGTGTCTTCCAAATGTTCAGAGTTGCTTCCTGAACAAAACTATCTACTTTGATTTGAGGTGTAATTCCACAGTATATTCCAATTTATATAATGGTTTTCTAATCATACATCATTTTCTTACAGAATTATATCCAAAGTTACACTGTGTGAATTTAGAGATAATATTTTATTCTTTTATATAATGCCAACAAAATTCTACAGTATATGTAATGGGAAAAAAATCCAATGTTTTATCATTTGTTTAATGACTATTTTTTGTAATATTTGAAAAGGTTGAAAAAAAGCAATAAAATGTCATGCTTTTAAAGACTCGAGTTACTTTTTTAATATACACTTTACCTATACCAAAGATGCTTTTTAAAGAGGCATCTGGACTTTCTGGTTTTTCTTTGAAGATGTTTCACCTTTCATCCAAGAAGCTTCTTCAGCTCTGACTGAGAATCTCCATAGACATTGTACATGTAGGATTAATATTTCTAATGAGGGGAGGGGAGGACCCTTCAATATTACACCTTTTCTCTCCGGGCCTATTATTCTGAGAGTGAACAACAACTAGCAATTGTGTTTCCTTGCCACTTATCACTATAAACTAGTTTCTTCTTTCCACACCAGCCCTCTGGGAAACCAGAAAAGAATTGAAAAAGAATTCTCTTATTCTAGGCTTGACCAAGCACTGAAGAGAAACAAATGTTTAGGAATCAGTAGCTAGGTCAATATTTCAGCCAACCTGAGGAGGAAGCCGACCAGCCAGGACTGAAACAAATAAAAAACCTTATCAATAGAAAATAAGTTTCTGAGGAAAGATCTGACCATTAATATGAGTCTGCTAATGTAATGATCTCCCAAAGCAAGCTCAGAAATAGCAGGTCTTGTTTCACAACTTAAGTTATTGTTATTCAGTTGTTGGACCCTATCTTGACTTTAGTTTTATTTATAGATCGTAAAGTATTAATCACAAAGGACTAGGTTTAGTTTTGATAGTTCAAATCAATAAAGAAGATATCTGGGTTCTGCTTGCTAATTTTTGGCCTATGGTCAAACATGTATTCCTGCTACAAGAATTTTGGATTACATCTGGGATATTAATTTTTGCTTGGAGTCATATAGCCATTTATCTTTTTATGGAGAATACAATCTAAATACTTAAGGGGTTTATTTCAAATCCCACAATGTGTTCCCAACATTGTCTTACACCATAAGGCTGGCAAGACAAACACTGAAATTCATATCCCTCTTCAATTGGCTAAAGTTATTTTTTTCAGCTACAATGTTGCTGAATAAATGATGATTATCATCAGTCTTTGGAATTCTGGCCACCACAGCATCCCGCATTCATATGATGATGATCTTGTTACTTGGCAACTGTCTTGTACTTACAAAGTTGCAGTATCCCACAGTCATGTAATTGCAATTTGCTACCTTCCCTGCCAGCTTCCCAAAAGCAAAGTCATTTGGCAGAATGGCAGACCAGAAGATGGATGGTGCAACAGGACAAGACTGGGAGATGGACAATGTGTGGCATAAGTGAAAGAAAGTCAGGAAAACTTACCAGATTGACTTGCAATGTTCCCTGCTGGCTTCCTTATTGACTTTGCTTATGGGAAGCTGGCAGGGAAGGTTGCAAATGGCAATTGTGTGACCATTGAAGTAACCTTCATAAATGTGAGCCAGCTGTCAAGCTTCCAAAATGCAATCATATGCCATGTCAGTGCTAGAATGGTTGGAACTTCAAGGACTGGTTATAATTACCATTTGTTCAGTGTCATCACAACTTTGAACAGTTGCTGAACAAGTGGTTGACAAATACAGACTACATTTAAAGTGCCTAATTGCAATTAAAAATTGATTAGCAAAGTGAAATTATATAGGCTATTGTTCCTAGTAATGTTTCATTAGTAACACTAATCTGGAATGAATGTGTTCCATTACATTAACAGAGTCACAAAAATAATAAGTGGGACTGGTAGTAGAAAAAACGATTTGAATGATTGGCAGCTATTAGCTTGCAAATGCATACTATACAGAAAGTGTGAATTATCTTGTGCTTTGTTGAGAAGTTTGCCCAGTCCTCTAGCTTGAAGGGAGAAACTTAATTTCTGAAAACCCTGGTAAATGAGATTGATGGATAATTTTTTGTGGAAAAAAAATTGCAAAAGACCATCATTTCTACAATCATATTCCTGGAATAGAGACTCATCCTACAAAGGAATAGATTCCTAGAAAGAACTAATGCTCTCCTTCAAATATGTTGATAGGGATTCCTAGAGGTGAAGTTTATGTTTACTTGTACTGGTAATAGAAAAAAGAACATGACCCCTATAAAACATATGGTGATTTACTTGTGTAATATAATAAATGTTCACACATGCATTACCTGCTATTTAGTACTGAAGAGAAATAAATGATGGTACTTCTCAGCATAAATAACAGGAAGAAATGAACTGTTTGACAAGAGATTAACAATTCTATCTAAAATGCTATTTGATTAAAGAGCTGGTCTGGCGATACATAAACAAAACTCAAAATTGTCAATATGTGGATGAGAGAGTGGAATACCGATAAAGACTTCATATTTTTAGGCATTTAGGAAAAATTTATGATAAGCTCTAAGCCTACAGTCTGTCCAATTTTAATTTTAAAAACTCCATATGGTGCCTTTCAAAGCAAAAGTTTTCAGAGTAGCTTTTTGTGTGTATGCCTTCAAGTCAGTTTTGATTCCTAGTAACTGCTTGAAGGACCACCTATAGTTTTCTTGGCAGGATTTTTGAAGCCGTTTATCATTGCTTATTTCCTGAGGCTGAAGAGAGTGACTGGCCCAAGTTCATCCAGCTTGCTTAATTCCTAAGGCGGAACTAGAACTCAAGGTCTCCATGAATAATTTTAATTACTTCATGTTATTTAATTTTAATTATTTGACCTCCACTAGGGGGTAAATTAAAAAAAACAGTAATTAAAAATCTCCACTTTGGGAGTGCATGTGTGTTCTTCCTCAGAGCAACAGTGACAATATCATTGAGATTGTAAAAACCTTCCATCATACAAGACTATGGGAGCAAACAGAGAAGGATTTCAAATATCATCTAAAGGTTCAAAAAGAAACATACTAGAAGTCCCCTATAATGTTATGGCATTAAATTTAACATTAGAAGAGTCTAATAGTTTTTACACTGAATCTTCAGCGAAGGCAACAGTGCTTGGGAAATAATTCAGCAGAAACATTCTTAGCAGATGTGGATTTTTTTTTAACCAAACAGGAACTGAGTACTGTAGATAAGCCAGAAATATGTCCTAAAACAGGATATGCAGACAAAGTCAAAGAAACATTGCAAATATATGCCAGGAACAGTGGAAAAGGAGAATTCTCAGAGAAGCATCCATGACTGGAAAATATTGTTTAAGTTTGTAAAGGAATATACTTATGATCAAACAAACAAAAAATTATGGTAATTATGTAGTTACCTACCAAGTACATCTACATTATATTAAAGTAACTAAAGTATCTTTACAATCCGTAAGGCATGACACAAATTTTGAGCACCCCTAATATTTGGAAATAGAAATTGTAAAATTTGACACACCATACATTTATAAAGTAGGTGCTGGAGAGTGTACCTACTTCCTGGGCTTGCCCAATTACACGAAATATATAGACTAGTGTTTTTCAACCTTGGCAATCTTAAGATGTGTGGAGTGGACTTAACTCTCAGAATTCCCTAGCTTAAAGTTGCCAAGGTTGAAAACACTGATATAGATTTATTACCCAATTTTACTGCTTAGGAAGAGTATGATCACCTTCCCTTTCACAGTTTCCCTTCACTCGCGGTTTGTTTGACGTCACCGTTCTTACGCACACCAAAGGGCCGCTGTGCTAGAATCGTTCTTTTGGATTCTAACCGCGCGGCTTCTCTGTTGCTATGACAACAACGGTAGTGTTAGTCGTTGTCCCGGAACCTTCTCGGCTCTTTTATACGGAGCTTAATCATTGGTTCTAAAAAGCGACCTTTAAGGAAAAGGCGTATTTTCATTGGTTCCTGAGTTTGCGGATTTGATCGCTCGTCGGACTGGACCATTTTACTGTGTTTAAAATCAAACATTAGTCTAATTATTACTACAAAAATAAATAGTAAACAAGAGGTCTGCCACGGTGTGAGCATTGACACTCCAAGCAGGTGAGTGATAGAATGGCGGCCCCAAAATTGGGAGGAGAGACGTGAGGAGATATCGTGCTCGATCTCTCTGCCCCCCCCCCCCTTCTTGAGATCAGCCTCTTGTTTTGCGATTAGAAGGAAAGGCACGGAGATTGTGGAAAGCAACGCTGGCCGTTCTTCAAAATCCTTTTACGGCCTGAGGTTTAGCATCGGCGCGTGTGAGACCAATGTGGATATGCATGGACAGAGTATGTGGCTTTTCTTTTACTGAAAACCAGGAAAGCGTTGAGGCATCTTTAAAGAAGAGCTGACTTAACTGAGCTATAATAAAGTTCCGTTGAACCCATTCGGCCAAGTAAACAAGGCACATTGCCTCCTCCGTGGTTATAATGCAGATGGGCTCAGGTTAAGAAAGATAAACTTATACTGTGTATATAAATGAGGGCTTCAATTTAATACGTAAGAAGTACAATCTACCATTTCTTCTTATCAAGATTTGTATTTAAAAAATGGGGGGGGAGCTCCATTCTTTAAAGATTTCTCACCTATTTCTTTATAGGATACCTATAGTGTAGATTTGAGAAAACTCAAGATAACCAGTTAACCATATGTAGTATACATACATTTATAGTACTTTTATAGTACTTTTATAAGTACTATAAAATATATTTATTTGTGTTCTGCCTGTATTGTTTTTACAAATAAGATGGGGATGCAATGTGTTGCTAGAAAGCTGGATCTAGTTATTTCAGAAGTCAGCAACGCAAAGGCAATTCAGTATTTGTTCGTTTGCTGGATGTCACCTACCTTACAGTGCAGTCTACAATACCTCATCTATTTCTATAAGTATATACACCATATCAGTAATTGACTTGGACTAATTTCAGGAGCTAAACAGGATCAACTAAACAAATGCCAAACAGGTGGTGAATGCCTTGAGAAAACCAAGACTGTTATACAGGAAGTCAAATATAATGGAAGACAATAATATTTCTCTTCCATAACACTGCTAAGAAAACTAGATGGATACAACCATCAGAAGTCAAGCTTGACATTGAGAGTTCTCTGTCCCTGGGGAATGTCTGATTTAAATGCATGAATGGTTATGGATGAAAAAATGCAATTAGAGCAATAAAGTATTACTTTAGAACTCTATATGTGTGAATATATACTATCATTTTTCTGTTTATCATTCAAAAATACATTTTTATATTAAGGTGTATAAACGTTTTGGGACTTGCACATTTAAATTATCACTTCCTTATTTACAGAGTGAGGGGGAACTTTGTAGAATGTTGCCTTTTTAAAAAATGTAATAGATATGGCCAATAGTTATGTATATCTCCTGCAGACTGTTGACTTTTTACTGCAGAAATCAATGAAAGAAGATTTAACATTCAAACTACAAGATCTGCTCAACTAATTCTGTGCTCTCCACATCTGAATTCCTTGCGGGCTTGTTGCAACCCCTGCCATTCTACATTAGAAACCACTGCTCAAAATGGAGAGGTATCTTAAAATGAACTCGTAAAATGAAAGCATATACTGTATGTTGTAATGGTTAAACTGTTGGATTGGGATCAAACAAACACAGGTTTTAGTCTGTATTTATATAGGGAAATATGCTCGGAGCATTTTAGCAGATGTCTTTCAACCCAGCATATCTCACAGAATTTCTGTTAATGGCAATTAGTTTTAAAAAGTCTCCATGTGTGTTTTTTTCTACCTTTAAAGGAAAAGTATAATCTAAATCTTACAATAAATAAACAACCTGATGTACTACTTAAAATCCAAAGGTAAAATAAATTCCACTTAGATATGATTTCATGAGCTGATATTTTAGCATAGGTTTTATTATATATTACTTTTTCAACCAGCTGTTTCTTTTCCTCCAGTTGCTGAAATTATATTCCCATTATTCTTCAAATGTCCACGAACCAATATTATTTTTTACATTTGTTTCCTCTAAGAATTAATTCTGATGCCTTGAGAGTATAAAATGCCTGATCAACTCAAGAAGGTGAAGACCAGAGAAAAGGCAGCAGATACTAAATCTCAAAGGTATAGTACTTTTCACTAAATGTCAGCAATATTTCCTGCATTTGTACCAGCAGTTAAATAAAGTAGTCTGAACATTGTGTTACATGGTTACTGTTTCTCTGGTCACCAAGTTTGACAGAAATAGCTGTGGTTGACAAGCCTATATAAATGTGGACAGAGATAGGAGATTATAGAAAGATGCATTAGAAAGTTCTTTTTCTACAGAACAGCATGGATAAAATTACATTTCATAATGATATGGTAATTATATATTGTTAACAAGTATATAATTTATTTCCTCCTAGGGATTATTCTGATCTTAAAAGGCTTCTGGCCTTTCTAAATGTCCAGTCTAGCAAGCAAAAGGTACTTCTCCAAATTGCTATAATTTGAATCAATGTTTTTAAAAAAGAAAATCTTGTACAGTGAGTTCCATGGTTTCAATATGCTTGTAAGTTCCTCTAATAAATGGAATGAATTGCATAGAATGAAGTCAGTGAGGTTTTCTAAATGCTTATGTTTTATAATGAATTATTGTGTGTTTTTTTGTGTTCTGTTTGCTTTTGTGCTGCTTTAGTATTTTGTTTGATCATAAGTAAAAGATTTTGAGAGTTTTAGATAATATCATTTCATGTCTGTCTTGGGTTTCAATGCTTCATATTTCTAGCCAGAGCAGTTTTCATTAAGAGTTTTGAAAATATGAGGTAGTATAAATTCCAAAAACACTGATTGAACTAGAATCGAATCCTAAGAGACAGTATTGCTTAGATTAGATTTAAATGGATTTGTGAAATAGATCCATTAGTGAAACAGAACCCTGTTGTAGATATTTGACATACCCACAAGGGATTACATAAAAGTACTGTCCCCAGTATTTCTACATATTTTCAGCTTTCTGTTCAGGAAGATCAACATGGGAAGCTCCGTCTCTTCTGTTTTATCATATTAAGGCTGGACTGATTGATAGGTAGATTGCTTTTTGGTTCAGTTCAAGGTGCTGGTAATGATCTATGGATTTCAGCCCTATAGCGTAAGATTAAGTTATTTGAGGGAACACTTTTCTCGACTTCCATCTATTCCATCCCATGAAATCTGACAGGAAGAGCAAGTTGTGGAATCTGATCACAAAGGATACTATTTGATGGGACCCAGGAGAAGAGCCTTTTCTGCCATACCATCTGCCTTTTAAAACATCATTTCCCCTGCGGTCAAATTGGCCCTGATCTTTGTAATCCTCTGGAAGGTCCTGAAAACATGGCTTTGCCATCTGGCCTAAGGTGGTCATGGAGCCTGCACAGTGGCTGTATTGCTGGTGAAATTGGATGCATGTCCCACAATTACATTTTTATTTTTTTTAATGGTTTTTGTTATGCTTTTGATTATTTTGTTGTGCGAGATGCACATAAATGTATGCTACATAAATGTATGAAATACTATACATAGATAAAGTCTAAAGGAAAGGCTGCAGCTTAGCTTCCACATTTTCAGGCTATTAGGCTCAGACCACCTAGCAAGAATTATCTAGAGTTCTACAGTGAGCAGGTTGTATGTTACTGTATAGTCTTTTGTCCTCCAGAGCTAATTGGCAGACTTCAAAGTAAAATTCTACGTTGAAGTTTATTGAAGCTGCTCTCTTTGATCTTTGCTAAATGCTCTTAATTTATTGGCATTTTCCTCCAACAATCCAAATTGTGTGTTTGTGTATTTCTGGGTGTCTGTGTATAAAAATAATCTAAACAAATATCAGTGACTTAAATACAGGGGAATGATAATAATTGTATCAGTTATATATATTTAAGATATCATTATTACCATAATTGTTATGGAATTCCAGTGACAATCATTGATATTATTTTGGTTGTATTAAGTAATTTACTTAACAGTCAACCCTGTTTTGCATTTGCAGTTGCCAGCCCTTAACTTTGAAAATATTAATAATAATATGACCAAGTCTGAACAATATTCTAGCAACTCTTGCAAAGAGAAATATAGAGGTCAATGGGAAGAATCTGCTGAAGCTGTTGAACTGGAAAACTTCAGGTATAATGTATTGAAATTAATTGTTATTGTATTTGTATCCATTTACTTTCAATATTTTTAAACTTTATTCTCAAGCACTTATACAAACTTGAGAATGAGATTTCCAAAAGGTTTGGTTATAATTAAAGTACAGCATTGAATACATTAAAGAACTTTACAAAGTTTTCAGCAGCTTCCAGAAGTTATTGCTAACTTGGAATTGTTTGTATGACACAAGGGAAAAGTATTAAATACTAATAGTCATATGTATATGACTACTGTATAATTTTTATTTAATGAAGTCCAATTTAGCTTTTTTTTTTAGCCCTCCCACTATTTTTGGCACATTATTAGAAAGGCCAAGGGAAATTTTGGCCTGAAAAAGTTGTCCATTCCTATTCTAGAGCTTCTTAGAACAGTGATGTACTAAGTATTCTTATTCCTGATACCTGAATTTAAGGCATAACTGTTGTATTAATCTATTGATGCCTCACATATGGAAGGCAATGTAGAATTTCTATAGTTTTAAGTAATGTGAAAATTTGAATTCATATGGAAAATATATTTTCAGTGACCATTTATAAAATGATCTTGATTGAATGATATTTATTCTATTCTACAAATGGTACATTATGAATAAAAAAGTGTTCCTGCCCCCTGCACAACAAGAAAAAAAGAGATTTAATGCAGGTAGACATTGACTTACTACTAATCACTCAACCACCATTCAGATTTATAGCAGCCTCCCCCAAAGCTATTTATGACCTGTTTCCAGTTACAAATGGCCTCATGGTTATTTTCCGTTATCACAAACCACAGGAATGCTGTGTTGCCTCCCACTTAACTCCCACATCATTCTCAGTTGTCTTGAGAGGTCTTGAACCTGCTCTGCTTCCCTGATGTGGTCAGTGCAATGATACGGGCTTTTGGAGTGCTGTGCAGACCTAGTTAGGAAAGCAGAATGGATCACAATCTTGCTGGCCCATGTAGTGCAATCCCTGAAGTGACCACTATTTTCTGAATGACCACAATTCAATGCAGTCAGGCTGGAAAGGCAGCCATTTCTGGAACATTTCTATGTGGCCCAGGGACACAGAGATTTGTTCTGGTTTCCTAATGTAGTTTGTGCACCACAAGAGAAAGCTAAGATTCCAAATAACACTCCCAACAGAAATAAAACTCCAAGGCAGGCATTTTCCTTGCAGTTCCATTTTATTAGAGATGTCATATTGGCACATTTGGGAAAAGCCGAAACTGAAAGGCCCCAAAGTGAAGTCAAAGTCTCTTCCCCTGCACCCACATGCCCATCACATGGACCAATAAGGTCATCATCCCAACTGGAGTTGTTTCCCAGTTACGCCTCTCCAGGTACAGGTGAACGTCCTTGACTCCCAGGGAAAAGAATGTTGTTATGGCTATACATCTTACCCTGTCTCCATCCGACTCCCCTCCCATTTCCCACAGCATGCCCATCCACTGAAGATCAAGATCGCCTCCAGGGCTGAAAAGTTTCAGAGCTTTCCGCAGCATTGCACAGATTGGCTTATGGAAACAGAATGAATTTGTTTGTTGTTGAACCGAAAGTGGCTACCTTTTTGACACAGCTGCATTGAATTGTGATGAGGGGATGAGGAGGACACCTAGGCCCTGCAGTGACTCAGTGGAGAGGAAGGCATGTGGGGACCTGGTGGGAAAACATCCACCAGGAACCAGAGGTGAAGCAGGTCAAAAGGCTGTGGTTGTGGTAGGAAGCAAAACATGAGGTGTCATGGGCTGGAGGAGACTTTGGGATGCCTTGTACAGGTCTGGGCCTGTGGCAGGCATCCAGGAGCCTTTCCCACCCATGACACACACCCTCCTCCACTTAACCACCCACAATTGTTTAACGACTGCATCTTGGAGAGCAGGAGTTGGTGGGGTAAGTAAAGACTCCATTATGACCATAAGTCGAGAATTACTTGTATTGCCTTTATTTGATAGTCAAGGGACTGGAATTATTAGCAGACATAAGATTGACAGGAAAGTTGTGCATATTTCTGTAGCTGGCTAAATGGTATCTTGGGACAAATGGATGGTTGTATTACCAACCCTTAAATTGGTGAGGCCAGAGTCAGTCATATTTCAGGTGGTGAGGTGGCGCAGTGGTTAAATGCAGCACTGCAGGCTACTTCAGCTGACTGCAGTTCTGCTGTTCAAATCTCACCGGCTCAGGGTTGACTCAGCCTTCCATCCTTCCGAGGTGGGTAAAATGAGGACCTGGATTGTTGGGGGCGATATGCTGACTCTGTAAACCGCTTAGAGAGGGCTGAAAGCCCTATGAAGCGGTATATAAGTCTAACTGCTATTGCTATTGCTATTGCTATTTTCCAATAGGCATATATGACAGTTCCTACAGTACACAGCATTAAAGATAGTTGCAATATTGAAGGAAGAGGGAGTGACACTGCTGGTGTTTCCCCTGAGACTAAGCAATGAGTCCATACCTGACCTGCAATATGATTGTAGGGTGTTTTACTTCAGGTATTGGTTGGAGTGGACTATATATTTTCTGTAATTGATATTTTTATAATGCTTTTCGTACTCTGATTTGAACCTTTTGCGATACCTGGTTTGCCTTTTGTGTCTTTAGTATGAATTACAAGAATGAAAGAAATTTTAGTCAACATCCACAGCACAAATTATTTCAAGATATCTTTGTAGCTTTGGTTAAAAACCGGCTTATTTGCAGGTAAGAAATATAGACTATATGTATACTTGTTAAAGACAAGTATTTGTCTTAAAAATTGAAGAGGTTTTGGGTTTTTAAAATATATAAATTTATATAATTAGATACACCATTGATTCTGTGGTATTTGTCTATCGTATAGGCATGTCTATATATGGATACTCATATGTTAGTAATTAATTGGAACAGGTTGATAGAGGACTGTAGCATAAATAGTTAGAAATAATAATTTATAGGTATTTCATAGTAAAACTTCATTTTAATATTTATTCATTCTTGAATTGCATTATGTTTTGATTTTCAGTAATGAAAGGAAGTCATGTTACTAAGTTTTATGAGAGGTTTTACTCTCCTTTATTTGGCCAGTTTCTAGATAGCTCCAAGAAGGTTGCAGTGTATTTATTTATTTATTAAATTCTGTGTTGCTCATTTCATTTACATGTGAAAAGAAAGATAAATATAGAAACAATTAGAATTCAACATGTTGCATATGAGCTAAGACCAAAGAGAAAGACAAAATGAAGGTGAGGTTTTCGTTTTATTCTGACAACCATCTCCAGCAAGAAAAGCCCCCGATCAGAGTCCCAAAGTAACCAGCAAAACTAATTTTTTTTAGGCCCTTTCGGAACCCCAGAGGAGTGGGAGTAGATCTTACCTCAGATGGTGTTCCGCAGTGCAGAAGCCACAACGGACAAGGCTCTTCTAGTTGACCTCACCAGATGAAATTCTTTAATAGATGGGGTTCACAATAAGCCCCTTCCCATGTGGGGCAAGATAATTCTATTGGGGCAAGATAGCTGTTCGGATAACCTAGACCCATGCAATAAGGGTCTTTAAAGATGATGATCAATACTTTGAATTTGATCTAAAACCAGACAGATAATCAATGCAGAGGGAACAACAATGGTGTTATATGTCACCTTAGGGAACTCCAGAACTGTCCACACCATTGCATTTTGCACCAGCTGTAGCTTCTGAATACTGTGAATACTCTTCAAGGGTAGAGGGCATTGCAGCAATCCAACTGAGAGATGATTAGATAAGAATGACTGTGTTCAGGCTTCATGATCAGATAGCACAACTGGCACACATTGCAAAATTGCATAAAGGCCCTCCTAAATCAGGATTATCCTCTGCTCTTCAAGCAAGAGTTAGATAATCCTCAAATTTCTAGCCAGGTCTTTCCTGGGGTAGTGCAACCCCATTCAGAACTAAAGATGATAAACAACTAGATGTTGAGATTTCCCGCCCTCATAGCAACTCCATCTTACTAAGATTCAAATGAAAGTTCTTGTTTCCCATCCAGACTCTCACAGCCCAGTACTGCAAAGGAGCAGGCACAATATCACTTTGATGACCAGAGATGTAGATGTAGAGCTGAGTTTCATCTAAATACTGATGGTACCTCATCCCATGGTATTGGATGATCTCACCCAATAGTTTCAAGTAGATGTTTGAAAAAGCCATATTCCATGATAAACTTTTTTTGCAGAACTGTTTGGCAAAATTCAATGATTTGGGAAATAAAAACCAAGAATGCTAACACTCATTTTGATCCTACACTTGCTGCTATTCGCAGTACCACGTTTGTTTTTTACTAGATTATTTTTAGAAATTGACTTGATGGCCAGCATAACGTTGAACTGTCATTTTAATCACAGCTATTTCTGAGATGGAATGAGTGAGAGGAAAATAAATTGAAATGTGTCTTACAGTCATATAGTTAGCTATTTGCATTTTAAAGGTGTTAAATTAAAACTTAAAAATAATTACTTGCAAAAAAATAAAAATGAGGAATTTTTTTCACATAAGGTAAGTTCAAACATAGTCCACTTTTGCTTTTTTCTTGAGTGTTGAAGCTATTGAAATCTTGATTTAATGGTGGATGGAGAAGTGGTAGGTATAAAATATCTACCAAGAGCCAAGGTGGCGCAGTGGTTAAATGCAGCACTGCAGGCTACTGCTAGATCAGCA